ATTAACGCTCGACGGCGTAAGCGCTCCAGAGGGTATATGTCTGCCCGTCAGAGCCCGTCATTTCTATCCCCCATGGAACGTTGGAGGAGCTCGCCACCAGAAAGTGAGGCCGCAGCCACGGACGACATTTTGCGAGCTCTCGCCGATAGCGATATATCTGCCTTATCAGACAGCTCGCCATACACCGTTCCCCAGTACGCCTGGTCAAGCAACGACTCCAGTGGCTCCTTCATCCAGGGAGATGCTTCCATCAGCAGTTGTGCTCGCAGCCAGTCATCTAGCTCCGAGATATCAGTCGCCCTATCATCGCACAGGCCTCCCCAGCGCCCACCAACTCCACTTCATCGCCCACAACCTCGTCGTCATCGTCGGAAACACATCCGCCATGCAAATCGCCTCCAGTGGACTCGTCGGCCCTACCAGTGTACATTCTGCGCGGACACATTCGCAACGAAATATGACTGGCAGCGCCATGAAAAAGCCCTTCATCTTCCAGTCGACCAATGGCGTTGTTCCCCTGAAGGCGGACTAATCGACAACAATGGCACACCCACGTGCGTCTTCTGCCAGGAAACCAATGTAGATGATGATCATCTCGAAACAGTACACAACTACAGCATCTGTCTGGAGAAACCACCTGAGCAGCGCATCTTCACTCGGAAGGACAACCTCCGCCAGCACCTGAAACTAACCCACCGCGTCGATACCTTCCACGGAACAATGAACACCTGGCGAGAAAGTCGAAGCCACCACATTCTCTCCCGCTGCGGGTTCTGCAGTGCAACATTCCAATCCTGGCAGGAGAGAGTCGACCATGTTGCAGAGCATTTCAAGCATGGGGCGGACATGAAGCAGTGGATGGGCGACTGGGGATTTGAGCCGGAAGTGCAGCAGCTCGTTGAGAATGCGATACCGCCGTATCTAATTGGGAGGGAGGCGCAGACGCCTGATCCGTGGAGGACGTCAGTTGTGTTTCCTATGCCGACGGAGGAGGATGAAGAGGAGGATGAGATCCCTTTTCGGTGGGATGTACCGACTGCTTTGGATAGGTATTTTGATGTCCATCGCGACCTGTTGGAGTTTATTCGCAAGCAAATGGCCAACGGATGCAGACCGTCGGATCAAATGATTCAGGATCGGGCGAGGCTGTTCGCGTATGAGGGTGATGATCCGTGGAATCAGACGTACGCCGACGACTTAGTTTGGTTAGAGGCGGTCAAGCAGGAGGCTGGGCTGTTTTAGGCAGCAGGTTGGGTTTAAATCGAACAGTCTGTCTTAAATGGCTTTTCATTTGGTTGTGGACTACTATCTCAGCGGCTTGCTGCAAATGGTAGGCCTTAGGTCAATTCTTCAAGCATTTTTGCCGTTGGCATGATATGCCCTGATTAACTCCGGCTTTTTATGCGCTAGGGTCAATATGTGGTGTGCTTACCAGGATCAATCGCCGACGTGAAATGGACTAGTATTGCAATAGTTCAAGGACAAACAAAAAGAAAGACAAAGCCGAGCAGCCATTGTATCACAGAGATATAGTCCAAGATCCTGGCATATATCTTCCTTCATGCATGATCGCCTCAGATGGCGAATTTATGGAGCTATTGTTCTTTATGCATAGAGTATTCACAGGACAGCTGGAGACAATCGGCGTTGGTTCGATGTTAGTGGCTCGTGTCGTCCGCTGGGCTGCCTCTACCAGTTTCATAACTATAGAATACTTCCGGCAATGGATTCATATATTGGCATATTGTGCTTCCTTTCTTCCTTTTTGTATCATACTGAGGCAAGTGTGCGCGTAATGCCACTTTGTAGACACTTTGGGATGATGAAGGATATCTCCTGGGGTAAGATCAACAGCGTACCGGGCGCATCCGTCGATCAAGGCCGCAGCGGTTAGTTCCTCCGCCCAGAGTTTGTACTACTGCGTTTCTGATTTCGAGTAGCAGTAAGCATTCAGTTCCAGCTTAATTGAATTTCCCGTCGTGACGTTTAGTAGGCTTTCCAAATAATAGAAAATATAAATAACTGCGTTACACTGCTATCTAAAGGATTTCATTCACAAAGTTATCACATCAGCCACAATTTCGGGTATCTATCAGGCCCTCTACGCCCTCGCCTCTCGGGCCTCGAATTCCTTCATTTGTATTTTCTAGTTCCTTTGACAACGCCATCTCCTACAATTCCGTCGGCCATGGCGCAAGTTGGGAACTTCACCTGGAATAGCGTATGCATACTCCCTCCATATCTTTATCTTGGTCTCCTCCGTATTCTAACAGAACTTACCAGACTACTCCAGCGTCCACTCTCAACTTCGTACCCTGCTACCAGAACTATTCCTGCGCGCGTCTCGAGGTTCCCTTAGATTGGTCTGATACCACTAACAATGATACCGCCATTTTGGCCATCATCAAGCTTTCCACGGAGGTCGACCATAGTGACAAACGCTACGGTGGCTCCATCATAATCAACCCAGGTACACACTACTCCTACAACATTAGATAGCTTGAAAACCTTATCATGATTACTCATTTTCAAAAGGTGGCCCCGGTGATTCAGGAGTGCAAGAGATCCTCAACCGCGGGAAAGAAATCCAGAACATCGTTGAGAGCTCTAACAAGGAAGAGCGGTATTTCGATATCGTTTCGTTTGATCCTCGAGGCGTCGGAAACACCCTGCCCCCTCTGTCATGCTTCCCAGATCTTCTTTCCAGCTATCTCTGGAAGGAGGCTGTACAGACCGAAGGTCTAGTTGATAGCTCCGAGCATGCAGAAGACTATCTTTGGTCTCGCATGCAGGCTATCGGTACCGCATGTACAACTACCGCGAAGGGTAGTGCTGGTATTGGTCCCTACATGAATACCTGGAGCACAGCACATGATCTGCGCCATCTTGCCCAGTTACTGCAGCCCGATTCTAACCAAAATGCAAGGCTACAATACTGGGGCTACTCGTATGGAACTCTTCTAGGTATTACCTACGCCAGCCTCTTCCCAGACCAAGTTCATCGGATGGTATTGGACGGAGTGGTAGACGCACTAGGCTGGTATTCAGGACATCTCTCTACTTCCTTCCGCGATGCAGATCTCATAGTAGACAGTTTCTTCCGCTATTGCCATCGGGCCGGATATCCCCGATGTGCATTTGCTGATGCGTCTGCTAATACATTGTCTACCGATGAAGACGAAACAGAAGCGATAAGCTATCTTCAGAAGCGCCTTACTGACATTTTAGCAGACTTGAAAGTCACTCCGCTCTGGACTAGTCAGCCCAGTCCTGAAATTATCACATACTCCGATGTCAAAAATTTGCTCAAAACTGCCTTATATGCCCCGAATGATCTTTTTCCTATTCTTGCTACGATCCTATCAGACCTTGAACAGCGAAACGCAAGCAGCATGGCAGCATGGAAAGCTACTCTACGGGAGGAAACACAGCCCGCTCACTGCCTCGATTCTGCATGCCAATCTTCTGCTCCATGCCGTGAAGCCTGCCGCTATGGCTCTCGAATTGAAGTCACAGAGGGTATTGCGTGTCTGGATCTGAGTCAGAAATTATTCAATATCATGCAAGAGGAATATTCAGAACTATACCTCCAGCCAGTGATGGAGAGCAGCTACTGGATTGGAGATACATTTGCAGATTTCTATATGCAATGTGCTAGTTGGAAGGGTCAGGGTCCGGGGTCTTTCGAAGGTACGCTCACTGCACTGTCCATATTGCTGTTAGCTTAGGTGCATGCTAATTTCTCGGCAAGGGCCTATCGGTGTTCAAAATATGTCTACGCCTATTATTTTTGTCAGCAATACTCTGGATCCAGTAACTCCACTTGCTGAGTATGTCTGAAGTAAATTTTTGTCATTTGAGATATGCTAACCGCTTCATTAGCGCCCATGCTATGTCCGCCTTATTCAAACGATCCGTGGTGCTGGAGCAGCACGCTGAAGGTGTATGTTTATCCCGATTTCCCTCATGTATCCTCTTTGATTTATTGACATTCGCTGCAGCATTGCTCTTATGCTTCCCGTTCGGTGTGTACGGAACATCATATCAAGACGTACTTTCGCACGGGGGAGTTGCCGCCAGAGGGGACGCGTTGTGAGACGGAAACCCATCCTTTCTCGGCAGAGTGAGAAACAGGTCATTCTCGACGGATTAAGGAAGGACAAACTTGTGATGAGTTCAACAACATGTTGTAATTAGGTGAGTTGTGGGGAGGACTAGAGCAACTATTTAGAGAGGTGCCTCACAGATCGGAATATAATTCACTTCCGCATCTTAGTCTTGCGTACAATGTGATATCTTGTAACATACTCCCTGCCAGCCAATGCGGAAGCTATGTATCCAATCCTAATCGGTGTGGGCTGGTGTGAGCTAGTGTGAGTTGATGGCATCGAAATGTATACCATCGGAATACCATTGATTATGGTTATGTGACGATGATACCCTCTCGACAGTCATAAATTGCTTTGTAAATCTAGGCAGCATATCTTGAGGGCTGTGGAGCGACATGCTCACACATTAGGGTCAAAATCAAGGTGTGATAGGTACATTGCTCCAACTGCATGGTACGGTACAGTATTTGGTTGGATCTGCTTGTATTCGAAATAATTCTAGTACGGGCCGCTCGAGCGTCTGGTGTGTCGCTGGGTAGCTCTGCAGACCTTCAACGACTAGGAAGCAGGGCAGTACCTCTTTATATTTATAGGTCACTATAGAAATTCAAAATTGTGTCCACAGCGCCACCGCACATAAGTCTTAGAAGACTGCAGAAGTTTTACACCATATTCAGCAGACGGAAGACGGTGGAGAAAGACCTGAATAAGAACTACGTTCTATGGCCGTCTTACATTATTCCTGGCAGTGGGCATCTAGCCAATTATCCCTCCTCTGTTATAGTCAGTTGTAGTAGCCACATAATTCAAGTCCAATACAATTTGGCAGTAGACATCAATAGGGTCCTCTACCATTAAATGCATACTCAGTGTCGACTAGTATGGTTACCATCACACCATGTGGGCCATAAACCGTACGGAATATACCACCACCCCGAGCTTTGCATGTCTCTGGCCCTCCTCGCTGAAACCCCATGCATCGGCGACTTTGTGGTCCGGTCGATAAGTTGGTCTGGAGGACCAGGTGGCAATTGCGTACCTGCCGGGGACGACTCGGAATTCAAAAGTCAACTCGGTCTCCGCACCAGGGTGGAAGTAGATGGATGATAGGCGGGGCATATGTTGGACTGCTAGGCCCATAGAGATGAACAATCGATGAAAATGCTCGATTTCAATGACAGGCTGTGATGGATGACTATCGTCTGGATGATCATGGCCTTGTTCCCATTGCTGTACAGTAGCGATCCGAGCTTGAGCTTCTTCGGTTGGAAAAGTGAGCCAGTTCCCTGATCCGTATAATCTCAGCTTCTCCACAAATATATAATCATGTATCTGTCCCGCTCAAGTCGTACCTTCATCAGTCCAGCAAGTGACGTTGTGTAATGATATAGTCTCCAAGTGTGGCCAGTACACGACGGGAAGAGTAGGCTGCCCTTCTTTGTTGAGGGGGCAAAGGAAATCTAACATCAGCGCGGTATTTTCCAACTTCAAATCACGGAGACTTGCACTAGAATTCCTAATAGTTGTAGCGACACTCTGTGCCTCCAAAGTCAACACCTTCACAAGAGGCATGACAGTTCTTCCCAGTGTTTCGGTCTCGTTTCTGAGGGGGAAGACCTTCAGACTGCGGGGTAAAATGGTAGATCCACGAGGCACAGCTGATTTGCCAAAGAACAAGAAATTAGTAAGTGAACAATCCGATGATTCTGTATAATGCTGAAAACGAAAAGATGGGGGCTCAATAGACAAAATACTTCTTCATACCTAAGCGTCTGGCACGCAAATACTCCAGTTCCTCCGGCCTTTGCGGATAACCCAGAATCATACGCAACCCCGTGATGTACGGGCAATGCTTTACAATGTCGTATATTGCCTCCGCATAAATCTGGTGGTCCCCAAGTCTGTCATATGGGTTGCAAAGGCCCGCAAAGAAGACCTTATCCAGGTAAAGTATGTTTAGTAGCATGGAGGCTGAATGGTGCGAACTTGACGGTTCATTCACTTCATTCACCAGCCTAAAACCCACTATTTCCACGTCGATATATATATAGACAAGCAACCGACTCGATTATAGTAGTGATGAAGTCTTCAAACTGAATGACAAACGACAGCGGTCTCTTATAGACATTTACACGCGCTAAAATAGCGTCACCACTTAACATTCATATTTGCTGCCGATCATGGATAGGCAGGATCCATAGACATCCCCCTGTGACTCGGAATGTTCCACAAAATTACACTATAATCAAGACTTCTCATTCACTCTGAACACCTCGGGAGAATCATTGGTCACTGATGGCACTGATGAGGACGTGACTGCATTCTTCCTTTCACGCAGCCCTCGAGATATTTGCATCATCTGCTGCACTCCCCCATCAATAAGGGGATAGAATATCGCCACGAGCATTGTGATCCACAACCAGATAATTCCTACAACGACCCAAGCAGTGAAGAACTGACATTTTGTTAGCACTTCACCGATCATCATGGGTGAGTAGTGGTGACAAATACTCACCCTCTTCCCAAAAACATATTTCGAGCCGTACATCGGCAGTGGCCACAACACCCAATGGCCCAAGAAAGTTGCAATCGACCAATATGCAGCAATACGACCCCATCTCTTCAACTCCTGGGGATTAAACGAGGACTGAGTGTGCTGTACTTCACTACCTTGACCATTCACCGTGATATCACTATCACTATCCAGTCGCTCGAGTCCCAGCTTCTCTTTGCGGAACTCCGCCCAGTCATACCTTTGTGGTTTGACTAGGGTGATCACGACAGAGTAAACTATTGGCGAGAAAGCAGATGCTACAGTTCCGTAGACGCAAGGTAGAATCTGTCCTGTTGAACTGACAGATACTGCACCATAAAAGTGCTGCGCTGTGCCAAGCCACACCCCGATGCCGGTCGCCATTCCCAGAATTGGGGACAGAATTGCGGCTGCCCTGTTCTGTCGGCGCCAAAGGATCGTGAATGCCATAGGAAAAATTCCAGGACAGGTTACCACACCTATTTTCATAAGTACTTGGACCAACGTCAATTGAACTGGAGACTTACCAAGCATATATAGTGTCCAGCCAAGATCAATACCGACGTAATGGAGCATAGTGCTGAATCCGGCAGAAAAGGCAGCGAAGAAAATGACACCAAAGTGACTGGCACGGATAATGTCTCTGTCTGATGCATCCTTGTTGATATATTCTCGGTATACATCAAAGCTTAGGATAGAGCTGACGGCGATGACTTGCGCAGAGAGGGTCGAAGTTACTGCCATAAAGGTGATAAGAAGGACTGCCGCCGCCCCGCCTTTCCCAGCAATAGTCATGGCTGCGTATGGAAGGACAAGGCCATTACTGACTTCCGTGGAGGTCATGCGCTGCATTAATTAGCATCGTCGACGATCAAAGGTGGACAGTACCTACGCGGGGATACGTCGGAAAGGAAGACGTGTTCTCGAGGCCTAGGGCAAGAGAGCTCATGATGGTTCCTAGAGCCCAGGGAATGGCAAAGTAAGCAATCCCACCGATGGTGTATCCCGGTACTACAGAGGAGGGGGCGGCGGAGAATGCTTTGATGAAATAGCTAGTATCCATCTGACAGAAGTGTTAGTCATTCCTGAGACTGGTGTGTTTATACTTACAATCACTAGGCCGAAGTTGGAGCAAATATGAAGAATTCCGAACAGGATAGCCTGGTTTTGTTAGCAAAGACAACGACATGGACTATAGTACGTACACCCTTCGAAGTCATAGTCAGGTATGTCCCATCTTGATTTCCAGACACAGGATGGCGCTGCGCGGCGGCTTGCACGAGCTCATATAACCTGCCGATCGAGCCGACCTCTTCAAATGTAAACGCTTTGATCGAGAGATAACATGCGATGACGAGGATTATTGCGGTGTGAAAGTAGTCCGTAAGGAATCTTCTCTGGTAAGCATAGTGTACGCTTTCTTTAGCTAAACACTTACGTTGCTTTGATGCCACCTACGAAGGTGTACACGGTAACACCAACGGGCAACAGGAACGTCGCAGCGATGATGTGCATTCCAGTTCTATGCGGTTAGTTAAATTCGAAACTTCAGCGAAACACTCACATAGCTGATATAACGGCGGCAGCGCCCAAAAGCATGTTAGCACACGCGAAGATGTTGTTGATCAAACACAGTGTCATGAAGACCACGTGTGCAATGCGACCTGAGCACATCAGCATCAGGTCGATCGGTATAGCTTCCATGCAGCCTACCATATCGGATTCGGACCACTTCGAGGGATGTATGCGCATCCGGGATCTTCCTCTTGCAGGATATCCCGATCAAGGCGAAAAATACAATCATCGGACTGCAGCCTGCAGCAAACCAGAAGGGGCCAGCCACGCCATAGTCATACCCCACAAAGGATGCTCCTAGCATTGCTGTTGTCCATAACCAAGACTGTCTACTCAGCAGATGATGGATCGCTATCAAGGGTGAACTCGTACCGATATTACTGCGGATGCTGTCAAGCCGGTCCTAACGGTGCGATTGGCAGTCATGAACCTGAAGGATTAGCAGGTATAAGACCAAAACTGTAATCGGACATACATCTCGGTTTTCTTGTTGTCTTCGCCTGTTGTTTCTTTGAGTATTCTGGTGATGACCATCATCACTGTTTTGTCAGCTGCATCACTTGCCTATCTTCGGTGAACATACCACCGGCGATGATGAGCCCTAGCACCACGACAATAACATATCCAACAGCCTGGGACAGTGGCGGCTGCACAGATGCCCCTGCTGCACGAGCTTGAATTTCTGACATCTTGTCAAGATACTCCAGTGGTTAGACAATGCAGCACTCAACAGCGGCAGAAAGACAAGGCTGACTATGTGGAGGCACCCCGGCAAATGTACTTTTAAGATCTACAACACAGCACACGTTATCGCTATTATCACGCTATCCGCCGATCATTGTATGCTACAGCGAACATCGTGTTCCCTGATGATACGATAGCCTATGCATATGAGGTGCTTGGACCGTGTTCCAAGATCCTGGAGATAATATATCTGGATTTGAAGTTATTCGGCCGATATACGTGCATGATTGTCCGTATAGCGTAAGGTCAATAAAGTTAAGTTATTGCGTGACAGGGACGATAGTTGGCGGAAGAGGACCAAAGATAGGGCAGGGGTGGATGCTCCGGGAGCCCGAGGTGGCTTGTGCCAAGTTTTCGACCAACTACCGAGGTCATGTAATTCTCAGCCAGAAATCGTTGTGTTTAGATTCCAGATAAAGAGATTCAGAATGATCCCTGCTCTTATTTGGGGCTGTATTAGATATGTGATTCCCCATTAATGGGCGACCCCTCATCTCCCCATCACGTCATCCCGGCCCACTGTGATGCTACTGAACATCCCCTCCGGCGAGGTCTGAATTGCACACTTATGGTCCATACTTATTCGCGGTTGATCTCTGAACGATATCTTGATAATTAACTGGCCTTATTTTCTTATAGTTCATATCGAAGACTCAGCATTTGCCGGTTCGAAAAGCCTAAGCCAGCACCTCTCTCCCGCCAACCTAACCTCCTATCTACCCTCCACAATGGCTACCGACAACGCTACATCTCGACCCCGCAAACAATTAATCCTCAATGCATTCGTTGAAATGTGTATGCAGCCCCAAATCTATTCTTCTTCAATCGCTAACATACCCCAGGTAGTGGCCACCAGTCCCCAGGACTGTGGCGACACCCAGAGGACGAATCGCACCGATTCAACGACATCGACCACTGGATTGAGCTCGCAAAGCTTCTAGAATCCGCCAAGTTCCACGGAATCTTCATCGCAGATGTCCTAGGTAGCTCTTATCCCCAAATATCTCTAGAATATGCATGAATAGTAACCTCCCCAGGCGGCTACGACGTGTACAAAGGCCCCCGCAACCTCGAACCAGCCATTGTATCTGGCGCGCAATGGCCCGTTAACGAGCCATTGGCTGTCGTACCTGCCATGGCGGCCGCGACACAAAATATCGGCTTCGGGGTGACAGTCACAACGACATATGAGCAGCCGTATCATCTTGCGCGTCGGCTCTCTACTATTGATCATCTCACTAAGGGACGGTAAGTCACTCTTCACGGCCCTCGTCGTCACTACCAAAACTAACACCAAAAACAGGATAGGATGGAACGTAAGCACCACCCACCCAACTTATAATAATCACCAAACTAACCAACCCAGATCGTAACGGGCTATCTCGACTCCGCAGCCCGTAACCTAGGCCACACCCAACAACCCCAGGTACCCTAACCCTCCCACCCCACTCACTCACCCACCAAAAACTCACCCTTGATAATAACAACCCACAGCACGACGACCGCTACGCTCAAGCCGAAGAATACATCAAAGTGACCTACAAATTATGGGAATCCTCCTGGCGCTCCGACGCCGTCGTGCTGGACCGCACCCGCGGAATCTACACGGACCCAACCCGAGTCCGCGAAATTAACCATACCGGCAAATACTTCACCGTCCCCGGCCCCCACATCTGCCAGCCCAGTCCACAACGCACACCCGTGATTCTCCAAGCGGGGACATCCAAAGCCGGGAAGGCGTTCGCGGCACAGCATGCCGAGGCGATCTTTGTGGCGGGACATAGTCCGTCCGTGGTGGCGAAGAATATCGCGGAGATCCGGGAGACGGCGAAGACGCAGTTTGGCCGGGATCCCGCGGGGATTAAGTTCCTGGCGCTGTTGTGTCCGGTGCTCGGGAGGACGGAGGAGGAGGCGTGGGAGAAATTTAGGTATTTTAGGAGTCTTGGGTCGATTGATGGTGCGCTGGCGTTGTTTGGGGGCTGGACTGGGATTGATCTCGATCGGTATGGCGAGGATGAGGAGTTGAGGCATGTGGAGAGTAATGCTATTCGGTAGGAGCTTCTTGTGTTTGGTGATGGGTGGGAGAAGTGCTGATTGTGTGATGTGATAGGTCTGCCGTTGAGGGT